TATATATATATATATATATATATATATATATATATGTATATATGAAAAATATATCAAAAATGCATGTGGGTACTCATATGAAAGCTCTTGATGAGTGTAACATCAGGATGAGCTTATATCTTTAAATACTCTTTAAATAATAATAATAAAATAAAAAAATCTCCACTCCCTCTTAATTACCATAAAGCAAAACTACCCAATAATAAATTTAATAAAATTACATCGAAGTTGGAGACAGGAAATTCATTTCCCTCATCTCAGAAGTATCTGGCTGAAAGATATTCTGTACACTGGCCATAACCGAAGATCCCTCAGCATCCCTTCCTTTTTTACTCTCTTCAGCAGAAATGGTGCCCAAGTATGTAAGATTTTGAGAAGAAATTGACTTCTTTCTGCTCAAAGACCTGATCGGTGGTGATTTAGCGATACTAGTCTCACCAACTTCCTCCTCTTCCTCATTGATTCTATTCTGACCAAGAATATCTCGGGACTGGTTCAAGATACTGGACAAGAACCAGCCGTGATTGGTCGGCGGCTTTTCAACCAAGCCACCAGTGAAGAATCTATTCTGAATAACTCGTCTTCGAGACTTGGGAGAACTGTCTGGAGTTGAAATCGGAGAACTTATAGGACTCACTGGCAGAGATCTGCTGCCACGTCTTTTCGTGATCTCACCAGCTGACGCGCGAATGCTAGCAAAATTACCCGCGTCGTCGTGACTCGGGTCGTTGGTGATTTTTCGAGTCAGTGATGATGAAGATGACATTATGCGGTTTGCTACGCTGACAATTGACTTTCCACAGAGACCAACTGTGCTGTTTTCAAATTCATCACCTTGCTGGAATTTGCTGGTTAATTTTGATGATTCTTCACCTAAAAAAAAAAAATAAAAATTTTGCTTTATTAAATAATGATTCTTGTTAAATTGGACTGTATCTTCTTAAATATTGACCTTTTTAAAGATATAAGCTCATCCTGATGTTAGGCTCGTCAATAGCTTTCATTTGAGTACCCACATGCATATTTGATAAATTTTTCATAGATATAAATATATAATATACATATATAATACATACATATATATAAAATATATGAAAAATTGATGTGGGTACTCAAATGAGAGGTCTTAAGGAGTGTAATGTCAGAATGAGCTTATATCTTTAAAAATGTCAGTAATTAAGAGATTAACTTGTATCTTGTGAACTATTGTCATTTTTGAAGATATAAGCTCATCCTCACATTATACTCATCAAGACCTTTCATTTGAGTACCCACATTAATTTTTCATATATTT